GAAGAAGAAGAAGAAGAAGAAGAAGAAGAAGAAGAAGAAGAAGAAGAGGAAGAGGAAGAGGAAGAGGAAGAGGAAGAGGAAGAGGAAGAGGAAGGGGAAGGGGAAGAGGAAGAGGAAGAGGAAGAGGAAGAGGAAGAGGAAGAGGAAGAGGAAGAGGAAGAGGAGGAAGGAAGAGGAAGAGGAGGAAGGAAGAGGAAGAGGAAGAGGAAGAGGAAGAGGAGGAAGGAAGAGGAAGAGATGATAGAGGCAGAGAGGCAGTGACTTGGAGTGATTCTTTGGTGCCGGTGTCAGGTCAGTGAGATGTTTACTGAAGATGTGGTAAGCCTGTTATCTCGATTTGGTTATTGGGCGGTACTTGCTTCAACAGCAAGAAACCGGAGCCTGTCCCAACTTCCTCTTTGATCTTTCCTGACCAAGCTAGCTGCTCATTGACTTGTAGCGTTTGCATCAGCTGAGCTGTGCCTGTTGCTAGGGGTCGCTCACGCTCACGTTTGGAAGCCCAGTCCAGGAAGAGGGCTTTTGCACTGAACGACGCAAAGGCACTACCTTTCGAATCTAAAGGCGGTGCCTATGTTTGATGGCATTTGTGTTCAAGGCTGAAGCAAAAGGTCCCAAAGCCATCCGCATTGAGTACATTTGTTCAAAAGACACTTCGTAGGAAACTACTTGCCTGTTAGTGGGCTGGATGAACAGTTTGTCATCTATAATGCAGAGGTGTCAGCTTCTTCAGTCTCTAAGGTGACAAAAAGTACAAAAAGCTACCTGATGATTTCGCTGATCGAAGGCAGCGTGAAGCTTTGGAATTTTGCTCAAACAGCGTCAAGTACTTTGCCAGGGCTTTGCAGTGCTTCACAGGTTCTATGGTACGATGAGAATGGTGAACAAAGGCTCTGGATTTGGCTTCATCTCGCACCCTCCTGAGACAAAGTTGCATGGAATGAAATTTCCAGATGGCAAGGCTTCAATCAAGAACCAAATGGAATTCAAATGAAGGGTTCTTCAAGGTTGCTTCACTCCACCCTGCTAGCAATGGCTCCACCCCAGCGGTTCTTCAAGGAAGCTTCAGCTCTCTTTCAACAATCGTCTCTGCTGAGATGTGCCGAAACTCGAGCAGAATTTGGCCGAGATGTCTTTGTGGACCTGAATCGGTGCCTGGCTGAAAAAGGATTGCCAGTGCTGGTGTTTTTCCTCGGAGTTCCAGGCTACCTGCAAGTTGCGACCGTGAGGGTGACAAAGTGTGGGATCTCGGCTTTGGACGTGAGAAGAAAGGACGCAAAGACGGAGCGTGAGAAAGAGCAGAAAGGAAAGGAAAGGGAAGAATAGAAGAACAGAGTGATGAGAAAAACGAAAGGAGAGAAAGAAAACAAAAGAGAAAGATCGAAAGGGTCTAAAGAAAACATAAACAGAAAAAGGACATGGAACAGAAAGGGCAAGAAAGAAAGGATAGGAGAAAGGAAAGCAGCAGGTAATGACCGGTAGCATTGGGCTTGAGGGCTTGCTGCCAGCCAGTGTTTGTTTGAAGCAAGGCCAGTGAAGCCCATTCGCCGCAAGCACACTAGTGGGGAGAACATGGAAAACAACAAAATAAGGTCAATACAGAGAACATACAGAGAAAAGACAATAGATAAAGGACAATGACAAGAATTACACAAAAGGCACGAAAACTACAAGGCAGCTGGAACGGCCCTGAATCTCAGCGAAGTCGAGGTCATGGGCAGGTACCCGTGGAAACTCGATTGTGGAATGGCGAACACCCACGTGGCCAAAAATGTTCAAGCATTCAATGCAGTGCATTCTATTTTCCCTCCCAAATGGCCAAGACTGAATCCAGCACGGAACAGATTTGGCAGGTTCAGCGAGAGCAAGCTGTAAGGCCCAAAACATTCATTGAATGCCTCAGTTGCCATCCAAATGCAATCCCTTCCGTTTCACTCAACTTTAGAGACCTCCTTTGGGTGCTAAACTTGCAGTCGATTTCGCAAATAGCCGTGACCTCAACCACCACCTGTTGCCTCCACCCTGCTAGCCGTGGCCTCCACCCTAGTAGCGTCCTTGCTCCTAGTAGCGATGCCAGGAGCCCCTAGTAGCGTCCTTCTTCCTAGTAGTAAGGCCAGGAGCCCCTAGTAGCGAGGCCCTTTGCTCCTAGTAGCGCCCTCTACCCCCCCTATGTGGATTTCGCAATCGGTTTACACCTTGGCTGTGCTGCGCCGATAGCGTTTGTGGTGAGGTGAGCTTCAAGTTGGTGGTGGGAAGAAAAGGCTATGCGGAAGCGACATCGGTATGATGCTCAGGGAAAAGTGATGTTGTTCAGACACATGCAAAAAAGTTATGAGAACACCTTCAGACAACTGCTAGCTCATTGAGCAGTGCAATTTCAACGACAAATTTGAGCCAGGTGGAACGAGGCTGAGCAAGAGAAAGTGATGAAAGCAGTGAGTGAGAGAATCTGCACAGATTCGAAGCTAGGACAATGCTGCAAGGATGAGGCCTGACTGCAGCGGTGGAAGGTTGGTCAACCTGGTATTGGCAAAAACAAAGGTAGAATGGGATGGAGTGGGGAGTGAGATGGTCTGTTTCAGCTTTGCACCGCTTCACTAGGTGAACATGTGAAACGTTCCACATTCCATTCAGAAAAAGTTCAATTGTCAGGTTGGACCGGCGCTGAAAGATACCTCTTTCTACGAGCCAGACATACTCAAAACTTAAGACTTCCTTTCCGGAAATTTCTA